AAATTCATAGAGTCTAGGTACCACATCGAAGAGCTCATCCGAACAATTAACATGAAAGTATTTATATTAAAAAAAAGGCACAGAGAGGCAACCTTATGGCGGTGGGCAAGTGACTGCAGCTGAGCTACTAGGTCAGGGCCAATAATATTGCTGATTCTTTTTTGAATCTTATCAAGGGACTCCAGGCAAACAGCAATGGCACTGGACCATATATGGCAGCAATATTCTAAACCTGGGCGAATGGTAGACTTATAGATATTCAAGAAAGATTCTAGAGAGAAAAAATGTATCAACCTACACAGGGAACCGACCGTTTTAGCAACTGACCTAGCAATGGATTCGATATAGTTTTTTCCACTTCATTTCAGCTGAAAATGTTAGCCCAGAAGGCGCAACGAGTCACTTTCCTGGTGGTTAGCATCAGCCTTGCAGGAAGGCAGCAAAGGGGCTCTTAGATGATTAATGGAGAGAAGTTTAGTTTTGGAAGCGTTAAAATTGACAAGTCATCTTTTACTCCAGGTAACGACGGTCTTGAGGTCATTTTGGACACTGGCTGCCATTTTGACCTTGTCGGACTGTTCAGCCTTACTATCAAGGCATGAATTGGGACACGTTACCCATTATCAGAGATTGTTTCATAAACGCTCCAGCTGTGGAATCTCTGGAAGGACTCACAATTATCAAGTCCTTCTTAACATGGCCAGTCACCGAAAGCCAATAAAGTAACAGCTGGCCATCTACAGGGTTCTCTCTCTACTCTTGCTACTGTATATTAATGATATGCCGAAGTGCATTCGCCGATCCTTAGTGAGTATCTATACGGATTATACATTTTACAGGAGTACCTCCAAAAATTTGGAAGACCAGAACTTAGCAGCTCATCTTTCTTCTGATCTAGGCCAGGGGGCTCAATGGAAGAACTGATTTGTAAAATTCAATATGGTCAGAACCATTCCACCACCACCGACTATTTGACCTACTAGAGTGGCTTCGGATGCATTTGTGAACTCTGGAACACGTTACTCATTATCGGGGACTGATATATAAACGCTCCAGCTATGGAATCTCTAGAAGGACTCTTAATTATCAAGTCCTTCCTAACATATATGTCCCTGAAGGTCGTTGTTAACGGTCAGTCATCGGATGTCCATAAGATCACAGGCGGCTTCCACAGGGTTCTCTCCTCGATCTTCCCTTCTTTCTACTGTATATTAATGATCTGCTTAAGAGTATACGACGATCAGTAGTGAGTATCTATGTGGATTATACAACAGTTTACAGGAGTACTTCCCCAAATCTGAAAGACCAGAACTTAGCAGCTTATCTCTTTTCTGACCTAGGCCAGGTGGCTCAGTGGAGGAAAGGACTGGCTTGTAAATTCATTAAGACCAAAACCATTCCACCTCCACTGAGAAGAGTCTAAACTTTCAGCTATTATTATGGATGGGTCTTCTCTCAAAGGGGGGGGGCTTGCATTGAAAGTCTATTGGGACTCAAGGTTACCCGAACCTCAAGTGGAACGCATATATCCGATCTATTGTTAAAGATGTTGGAAAATGATTGTACCGCCTCAGTAAGTATCTAACTCTTTCTGATATACACTATCCTTACAAGAGCAAGACCAGACCAAAAATGGAGTATCGCTCCCATATTTGGGCTAAAGCTGCCCAGTCCTTCCTTGCCAGTCTTGATAGAGTTCAAAAGCATCTACGCATTCTTGTGATTTTCCACATCACAACCACTTTCCCACAGACGAAAAGTCGCGAGCCACTCCATGGCGTGTTTTCTGACGAGCTACATTCCTTAGTCCCGACACTCCTGATCTTTACAACTGGGACCCGCCATGCTGCGAACACAAGAATGACTTATCCCCATACCTTTCGTATTCCAGTAGCCAAAAGTAAGTTTCATTCGAAACTTTTTTCTCTCAAGAACTGCTACTTTGTGGAACAGGCCGCTGACAGGGTGTTCTTGCAATCACTTCAATCTTGACCTCTTCAAGTCTATGGTTCACCGTTATCTCTCCGTCATAACCACATGAACTTCATTTTTTTCACACTTATACAACACCACACAATAACACTTTATTTTGAGTGACTCTCGGGCCTTTTATTTGGTGAACATTAATATAAAATAAAATTCACTTAATTATATTTTCCTTCTCTTTTCCTCTAGATGTATTTTTTTTTAATTCTTACTTGGTTAAGTTTACAAAAATGAAAATATACGCCTTGCGCGAACAAATATTATTAGAAAATAAAATGATTGGATAAACTTTCAACGGAATGTGAAGATCTGAAAGAAAACCTTTTCGTGATTTGACAACCCTAGCAAGAGGAGAAAAACAAATGACATTCGGGGACACTAATAGACAAATATTAAAAACTAAATCTTCATCATCCTTACATAAAATTGTCATTTTATTTATTTTGTTAACACACGTGGATCCGATATAAAGCTGACTATAAAAATGCCTGAGTAAACTCGGTTCGAAAACGATGAAAGCTGTCTTCGCTTCTCAAATACTGAGTTTTATGAAAAATAATCATTCTTCAGTTTGACGAGCAATCGAAAAACAAAACAAGTGGTCCCGGTAATAATTATTTCGCATTATCGAAAGAAAAATGCCACTTTTATTTAGAACCAGAAAGAGACAGTTTAAATTTCTAGGGCGCCTAATGGGAAAAGAAATCATGGAAAATCTGATACACAGGGAATAGTGAATATAAGAGGTTAAGTGGAAATCAGTGAGTAACATTGCCAAACGAGATTGTGTAAATAAATACCAAAAAGGGAGATGAAAAGTTAATAAAAAAAAACAAACATTGCTAAGAGCTATAAAGAGTAGTGATGTTGTGGAGAGCTATGATCAACCACATCCTACAGGAACACGGCACATAAAAGAGGACGACTATTACTGTTGCTATTCTCCTTCTTTATTTACCGTATCCCCTCAGGACTTACGCGGTCATGGTTCTCCACGACTTCCTGTCCGTTGTAACATTAATAAATTTTTTCTTTCTGTTATTTCTCGTATGCTCTGTTCCGCCATTTATTTACTCAAACACTATGTTAGGTGTGGTTTTCCTCTACCCATCTTGCCCTTTCTCGGTCCCGTGAGTATTAGATTTTCCAAGCCCTTCTTCCTGATTGTATGCGCTACAAACCTCAACTAACACTTCCTGATGTTAAGTATAAGTTTCCTTTTTGTTTCCATTTTCTCTAAAACCTCGTCGTGGCTCACATGTTCGGTCCATGGTATCCTCAGCATCCTTCTGTAGAAATTTCAACTGTCTCTTTCTGATGTTAAGTATAAGTTTCCTTTTTATTTCCATTTTCTCTAAAACCTCGGCGTTGCTCACATGTTCAGTCCATGTTATCCTCAGCATCCTTCTGTAGAAATTTCAATTGTCTCTTCCTGATGTTAAGTATAAGTTTCCTTTTTGTTTCCATTTTCTCTAAAACCTCATCGTTTCTCACATATTCGATTCATTGTATCCTCAGCATCCTTCTGTAGAAATGTAGAAATGTAGGAGTTGGAAATATCAGTCGTCCTATATGGCAGTGAATGCTGGACAATCACTTCATAGATGAAGAAGAGAATTGAAACAATAGAAATGTGGGATGTTAAAATTTCTACAGAAGGATGCTGAGGATACCATGGACCGAATATGTGAGCAACGATGAAGGTTTAGAGAAAATGGAAACAAAAAGGACACTTACACTTGTCATCAAGAAGAGAGAGTTGAACTTTCTACAGAAGGATGCTGAGGATACCATGGACCGAACATATGAGCAACGACGAGGTTTTAGAGAAAATGGAAACAAAAAGGAAACTTATACTTAACATCAGGAAGAGACAGTTGAAATTACAGATTGGAGGCATGCGGGGGAGAGGAAAACAATGAATACCTAGCGAGCTTGAGTAAATGGACAGGAAAACTCTGAAGAACAGGACAGGTGCATGGATTCTGCCCCCCCCCCCATTCTATGATACGCCCCCCCCCCCAACTCTACTACATTTCAATTTTCATAAGGTAGTATTCTTATAGAATACAAATTTTATTGTAACTTAATTATGTACAGTAATGGATCATATGCAATATAGGTGAAAAATCCAACTAGAAAAATTGAAAATAAATACAATGCACCTAAATACAAATTAGAGACATGTTATAATAGATCATTCCGTTTTAAATAAATCAACAATGTTTTTTAATATCAAATTGATATTTTTCTTATTAAAAAGTTGAGGAATTATAACACATTCAGTATTATGAATTGATGTAATGAATATGCATACACCTGGATTCCCCCTCACAGTAATATGATTGGCTGGTGTCAGCCATAAATACAGACTGATATGGAGGTACAGAGACGACGCCTATTGTCTTCGCCTATTGCCTACCACTACGACGAGGACCAGTCCATTACGGTAGATTGTCCTACCCGGTTACAGTAGTCCAAAACCACTTTGCTACTTCGAACAAATATATCCCTTTTCGGGACATATCATGAATAAAGAATAGTGGATTTTACACTGTTTTTCCGAGACTTACTATGACCAAAACGAATTCATGGAATTGGCCGAAAAAAAGACCCCAAAATATCGTCAAAATTCGCGAAAATTTATCATCTTTTAATAGTCACTTGTGCTTAGTTTAATTTGTAAGATATATAAATGTAAGCAGTAAAAAGCAAATGTTGATAAGATAGTGAGGATTACAAAGCACTGTTCGGGGCTTCCAATCAGGCTTGCCTCCCCCGGTCGGGTTGGTGGGGTGCGGTTCGCGGGTAGTATGGGCCTGGTGGGGAGCCATGATTGCCAACGTCCTGAAGGGTCACGGCACATAAATGAAGAGACGGGGAGACTTGTTGAATTTAGCTTCAAAATAGTAAAAGCTGAGTAAACATAAAATACTAAAAAATAAACTATAATATCTTGTGGTGAGGCCAGGACCAATTTTTTTTTTTTTTTTTTTTGTCTGCAGAGCTCATCCATGCTGTCAAATTACTTCGTTGGAAGAGTGGCAAAGCCCTACATCCAGTTTGGTCATCTATCTAGACGAGAGAAACTCCAACAGAAAAGCTACGAACACGAGACATTACTGCTAATGTCCCACAACACGTAAAGCACACACTTCTCTTAAAAGACATGAGGACTTTTGTATACCGTGGAATGACCTATAATATTTGGAAAAAATTTCTCCAAAATATTCGTTCGCGATGTTAAGACATAACATACGATTCTCTTCTCTTTCTCTCCATCTGTTCATGCCTATCCCCAGTCTGTCCATCTCTCTCACTTTCTCTCTTTTTTACATTCTGTACTTCTCCGAATCTGTTCAATTCTCTTTCTCTCTATCATAATCTGTTCGTATCTATCTTCTTCTTCTTCTTCTTCTTTTATGTGCCATGTCTCTTCCGGACGTAGGCGATCATGGCTCTCCACATCTTCCTGTCCCTTTTAGCTCTCAATAAGTTTTGTCTTTTTGTTATTACTCCCAGACCCTGTTCTGACGTCCACTTGCTTAAGCTCGCTATGTCACGCGTTGCTTTCCCTTGTCCCTCTTTCCCCTTTATCCGCCCTGTGAGTGTCAGATTTTCTAAGCACTCTTTTTTCATTACGTGTCCAAGAAATTTCAGCTGCCTCTTCCTGATGTTAAGTATAAGTTTCCTCTTTGTTTGCATTGTCTCCAAAACCTCATCGTTGCTCACATATTCGGTCCATGGTATCCTTAGCATCCTTCTATCTTAGTCTTTTAATATCTCTCTCTCTCTGTATCACAATCTGTTCATATTTCGCTCTCCTTATATATCTCTTCCTCTCTCTGTCAGAATCTGTTCCTATATCTCTTTTTCTCTCTCTGTCAGAATCTGATCATATTTCTATATCTTTCTCTATCAAATCTCTCTCTTTCTTTCTCTTTCTCTCTCTCTCTCTCTCTCTCTCTCTATCGCACTGTTCATATTTCTTTATCTATTTCTATCACAATTTCTCCCTTTCTCTATCACAATCTGTTCATCTCTCTCCCACTCTCGTTTTCTAGTTCTATCTCTGTGTCAGAATCTCTCTCTCTCTCTCTTATCCCACTGTTACAATCTGTTCATATTTCTCTATATTACATTGTCACAACCTTTCTATCTCTGTTATAATCTATACTTCTCTCTCTCCCTTTCTCGTTCTCTTTCTCTCTCTCTCTCTCTCTCTCTCTCTCTCTCCGTCACAATCTGTACTGCTCTCTCTCTCTCTCGTTCTCTTTCTTTCTCTCCCCGTCACAATCGGTACTGTTCTCCCTCTCTTTCACTTTCTTTCTCTATCTCTCTCCGTCACAATCTGTACTTCTCTCTCTCTCTCCCTCTCTCATTCTCTTTATCTCTCTCTGTCAAAATCTGTACATCTCTCTCTACCTCTATCGTTCTCTTTCTCTCGCTCTCTTTCAGTCAGAATCTGTTCATCTCTGTTTAACCATTTCTATCTCTGTCACAATTTGTTGATATCTCTCTTTTTCTTCTCTCTGTCACCACCTGTTCATATCAATCTCGGCCTGTTCTCTTTCGCTCTCTCCCTCTCTGTCACAAATTGTTCATATCTATCTATCTATCTATCTATCTATCTATCTCGGTTAGCTTATTATATGTGTCTCTATCCATCACGATTTGCTCACTATCTATCTATCTATTTCTGGTTGTTCATTTTCTATCTATCTATCTATCTATCTATCTATCTATCTATCTATCTATCTATCTATCTATGGTTGTTCATTTTCTATCTATCTATCTATCTATCTATCTATCTATCTATCTATCTATCTATCTATCTCGGTTAGCTTATTATATGTCTCTATCCATCACGATTTGCTCACTATCTATCTATCTATCTATCTATCTATCTATCTATCTATCTATCTATCTATCTCTGGTTGTTCATTTTCTATCTATCTATCTATCTATCTATCTATCTATCTATCTATCTATCTATCTATCTATCTATCTCGGTTAGCTTATTATCTGTGTCTCTATCCATCACGATTTGCTCACTATCTATCTATCTATCTATCTATCTATGGTTGTTCATTTTCTATCTATCTATCTATCTATCTATCTATCTATCTATCTATCCTTCTATCTATCTATCTATCTATCTATCTCTCTCTCCAGCTTATTATCTGTGTGTCTCTATCCATCACGATTTGCTCACTATCTATCTATCTATCTATCTATGGTTGTTCATTTTCTATCTATCTATCTATCTATCTATCTATCTATCTATCTATCTATCTATCTATCTATCTATCTCGGTTAGCTTATTATCTGTGTCTCTATCCATCACGATTTACTCACTATCTATCTATCTATCTATCTATCTATCTATCTATCTATCTATCTATCTATCTCAGTCTATTTATATGCTTCTCTCACGCCTACTCTCCTTCTATCAGCACAAGCTAAGCGATATTTTCAACCAATGGAAATAACCAAAAATAACCGTTTCTAAAATCTCCTATCAAACTCTAAAAAAAGGTGCTTTGTTAGGCAATTGGCTTTTTAACGTCAACATTTCTATTTTGTATGCAACAATACATTTCTTTTATCATAAACACAAAACTTTTATATTCTTGAACATTTTGTTCCTTCATAAACTTTAAAAGATGTCTCCATATTAAGTTTATCAACAACGTTTTTTTTTTCCTATTTCGCATGTCATGCAAACATTTAAACTCGCACAGATGTTTCTTTAACAAAGTTTAATGCATTTTTGTCATACAAAACTTTAACAGCAAAATTTCATTTATGAAACATACACTCTTTTTTCCAACTAAATATATCTTCTTTTATGTGCTATCTCCTTTCAGGAGGTAGGCGATCACGGCTCTCCACATTTTCCTTTCTTTTGTGGCTTTAAGTAACTTCTAACGCTTTACCATCCCTCTTTATTCTTGTTCTGTCAACCATTTATACACGCTCGTTAGCTAGGCTTTTCTGTTTCTCTTCGTATGCCATGTGAGTGTTAAATTCACCAAGCTCTCTTTCCTCGTTACGTGTATTTAACAACAAAATTCCATATATGTACATAGACTCTTTTTCCAACTAAATATATCTTCTTCCTCTTTTATGTGCCATCTCCTCTCAAGAGGAAGACAATTATGGCTCTCCACAATTTCCTGTCTATCATTCCTCTAAGTAACTTTTAACTCTTTACCATCCCTTTTTATCCTTGTTCTGCCATCTATACTTTTATGCGTTAAATTCTTTTATGCTGTGAATGATCATGGCCCTCCACAATTTCCTCTTTTTTGTTGCTCTAAGTAACTTCTAACGCTTTACCACCTCTCTTTATCTTTGTTCTGTCATCCATTTATACACGCTTGTTAGCAAAGCTTTTCCCTGCTTCTCTTCGTATGTCATGTGAGTGTTAAATTCTCCAGGCCCTCTTTCCTCATTACGTGTCCAATAAAGTTTCAATTGTCTAATTTATGATTGAATCAATTTCCTTGTGGTTCCTATTTTACTTAAAACTTCATTGTTTCTCACATGTTGTATCTATGTTATCGGCAGGACCTTGTCTTTGTCGCTTCAGGTCGCTTCGGTGAGGGGATTGTCCACCATTCACTGCCGTATAGGAGATTACGCAGAAGTTCAACACTCTTTTTCCATATCAAATCGTGAAGATGTACGAGGGTTTCTCCGAAAGTAAGGCCTTCCCGATAATTTCCACAGAAATTACATCAGATGCTGTGAAGCACAATAAGACGGTTGAATAGAGAAAGTTTCTAACTCCAAAGAATATAGTCACCGCCAATAGCTATGCATTTTCCACTCGTTCTACACTTCTTTGTTTGACAGTTGTGCATAGCCGCCTGCAACGTGGCTTATCACACAGCTCACTGTCACCACAGATTAAACGCATTACCCACCGTTTTAACTGTGATCAAATCCACTGCATGTTTTCCATAAACATTTAACAAGCGTCGATGAATGTCAATGAATGCAATATTTCCCTCATAAAGGAATTCAGTGATACACATCTTCGTACGCAATTTCCTGTCTGATGCCACTTTGTTAGACTATTACCTGCAGCAAGAGAAAAATATGGGTTATTGGTGGGAAGGTTTTGCCTCTACAGCCAACATTTGCTTCGAGTGTCGTGGGATAACATAATAATATAAGTGGCATCATTTTTAGAGCTACCCTCGCCGAAAATATTTTTCTACCGTTAAAAACCTATTGGTCTTTTTATTCCTTTTAAATATATTTTTAGGCCACCGTTTATTACTTGTTGTTTACTAGGCATTTCGCGTCCTGGGTAAGACGATAAACCACATCCGACAGCAAGGTCTCTTATCAGGAAGTTTTGAGGAGCGTGGAACCACCTTTTAATTGCTGGTGTTCCCAGGTCCACCCTGACCCGAGGTGGTAGCACCTGCTAGGATCCCAGCTATCGGCAAATAGTTAACCCCACCCAAACTGGAACCAAAACACTACATAAGTGTAAAAATAGGTTTTAATAAGAGCAATACATTTTTGTAACAAATTATTACCAGCAATAAATTTTTGAAGAAAAAAATATTACCAGCAATACATTTTTTGAAAAAAATATTAACAGAAATACTTTTTCAAAAAAAAATATTAACAGAAATCCTTTTTCAAAAAAAATATTAACAGAAATACTTTTTCAAAAAAAATATTAACAGCAATAAAAATCTCGTCGGCATTAAATAACCCATTGAGGTTGATATACCGTAAAACAAAACAAACTAGCCATTTCAATGGGTCGATTTTTGAAAATATGAACCTTCATAGAAGACATTATCTGAAATAAGAGAGGTGCCTATAATCAATTTGAAATTTATTGGTAATTTTCTAACATTTTCTGCACAAGCGTAAGTCCCTAAAATTCAGTAAATATTAGATTTCTTAAATTTCTAAGATTACTATGTAGTTAAAAAATTAATATAAAAAAGTGTTCACGTATTCAAGTAATTTCTTTCAGCTATCCACGTTGTCAATCAATAAATAAAGCGATATTTTAAACAAAAGGCACATAATATTTGTTCAAATTCAGATTGACTAAGCTTTAAATCAACTAATTTTCCACAAATAGCGTTTCAGAAAAGTGTATTTTATTTTGAAAGATTTTTAAGAGAATTATGTTTTGTTGACGGATGTGTCAATATGGACGAATTTATAGCTTTTACTGATAAGGAGAAAAATATTTTAATAAGTTTAAATTCGGTTCGAAATACTCGAAAATATTTTTAGTGATTGGGAATATCAAATTTATTAGCTTGGAATTAAATCTAAAATAAAAGCTTTTTTAAATTTTTTCAAATGAATTTTGCTTTTTAAACTTAAGTATCGCTTTTTAGATACATACGTAGCTTACTTGTGACACAAGGCCGAAAATACGGAGCACCCAGTGAGGATTGAATTTACTGATTCTATATATTTCTCTATTCTGGTAACCCTTCTTACAGATCATCAATATTTGATTAACAAGTGATCCAATGATTATTTCTGCTTATAGTGACTCCAGTCCAATGATTATTTCTATTTGTAGTGACTACTGTCCAACTGCACTGAGTTTGCTAACTTTTACACCACTACTAGGTGCCGTTACAAGTCCCCGGTTGTGTGAGTGTGTCATTTTTCGCTTTACCCATGAAACTCTGTGCGCAAGTTGTGCGACGAACGTCATTCAAAATCTGGTCAAATTTGCAACCTTTTCACGTCAGTTAAGTGTCAAAGGAAGCCATCCAGTGGTTTCTTCGTTCAGAATGAACACCTGCTTTATTGGTCCTCGAGGCGAAGATTTAACAACTTCCAAAGATTTGATTTAATCGAAGTGATTTAGGTCTGTCATCGCGACGTTAACCTTTGCCACTTTTACAAGGACAAGGTTCACAATCTGGAGACGAGATTGATGTCCAGAAGACCACCGAAGGACCTAAATGGCAAGAATTGGAAAATGGATATAAATGTTCTTAGAATGCGATCACTTAGGCGCGAATTGGCAGATTAGGCTCGACCTAATAATTCATAAATTGGGTTTAACTTTGGTTGTTTGTTTATTCATACCATATTGGAAAAGCATAATCTTCTATAGTCTGATCGATTTAAAATAAATGTTAGGTATACTCGGAAAACAATGTTACCAGGTCATGTTTTATATCATTGGAAGCGGAATTTTATATCCTGCAAGAAAATAAAAGCTCCTTTCTCATCCACCATGGGGAATTTTTTTTACAGCCGTTTTACTGAGCCCAACGTTCTTTGCAAAAAAAAAAAAACATGTGCCAGAAAGTAAAACATGGTTCTTAGTCACTTAAATAGTTTACATTTGTAAGTGGTTTTCATGCAAAGGTCATTTCGAATGGGTCTTACGAGTTATACGAACATTATGAAGTCAATTTTCTAATGTTTAGTAGTTGAGGTTATCTTTCCCCATTGTGCACTATAATCTGTAACTGCTTCCTCTTCTTATAGATCAGATAGTATCTGCTAATAGATAGCACTCAACAGATCAGTCAGTTATGTGCCATGCGTGATACACGCTTAGGCGATCATGTCTCGTTCGAAACATGACTGACAAGGCAGATTTTATTTTCCCACAGTCGGTTTCCATTTCTGTCTGCGGTAGACCAGTTGCCACCCAAGGCTATATAACTCGATCTGTGCTGCTATTTACCCATAAATAGGGGAAAAGAAGAGAATCCATACGTTTCCCAAGGGTATTAGCACGTAAGGGAATGTAATGGATTCGACTGGAATTCGAACTCGGCTCCCCGATTCCTCAATCCGAGCCGCAGTAGGTTGCCATTTCTTTCTG